TGCTACTGGGGAAGAGCGGAGGGCAGTTCCAAGTAGCTCCAGAAAGAGTGAAGTGGCTGGGCCAAAGCCACTGAAACTACTTTGGTAACCATGGGGGATGACCTACAACAATGCCAAGAGAATGACCCCAGCTAAGTCTCTTGGATCTCACTGCAAGTCTAAGCTACTGTTTTGTAGTGATTTCAGTTTTGCCCATTAAGATCCAGATATGTTTGGGATCTGTAGTTTGACACCAAGCCCACAGGGTTCCATCCTATCCTCCATGCTGTTTTACATCTTTGTGAAATCATTTGGGGAGGCTATCTGGAATTGTAGAGTGTAGTGTTAACAGTTCAATGTCTACTGTTGAATATTTCTTAAACCTGATAATGAGCTGGTGAGAGAAAGCAAGCTGTAATGAAATCTAGAAAGACAAAGGTATTGTTGGTATGTAGGAAACTATCCTTTGGACCAAAGTTCAGCCTTTGATCTTCATTGTCACTGGATCCCCAAGTAGCAGCTATTGCAAGGAACAGTTTTATAAAAGTATGCCCAGCACACCAGCTGTGATGTTTTCTGGCCAGTCAGATTTGATGATGATTATCTCTCTCTCAAATAATCTCATACTGACTTTTACAATGTGCTCTATGTGTAGCTACCCTTGAAATGTGTCTAGAGGTTGCATTTTTACTAAATGGAGCAACTAGCCTATAACCTGGTACAAGATAAAGGGATTAGTGTAGGAAGATCTGCACTGATTGCCCTCTTAGTTTCCAGGCATAATACAGAGTGTTACTACTAACTAGTTTTGGCTCTCTAAGGGTCATGACTCAGCAACTTGTCCATCTGTTAAGATCTGCGGGACGCCTGTTTTTTGGCAATAGACATTTATAAATACCTGAACAATTTGACTGTTAACTATTGGTTGTAGGCATTCCTCTCCATTGAACGAAGGCAGGACATAAGCATATGACTTCTGTTGCCAAGTTCAGTTTCAGTTCTGCTTTGATCAGCACATATTCATTGTCTTACAAGACATTACTCAAAGTAATTTCACCAAAATATAGCAGCCGTGAGAACCTACACTTTATAAAATCATCATCGTTAGACTCCAGTAATTCAAAAGCAATCAGAAAGAATTGGAACCAGTATCATTTGTTTTTCAATCAGCAAAGCTGATTTCCCTCTAACCTACTCTCTCTGTCAATCTCCAAGGAACAAAGTCAACATAAGAAATTAAAGCAAATCCAATTCACCGTCCACTCATAGATTCAATGATTGTCCCATCAGTACATCTGAGACGAATACTGTTCAGACCTGTATCATCAGCCCAGATTGTTTGGGGTGGTTGCACCTAATGGAAAATAGGAAATGAGGTCAACGGAAATTTCTTACATACCTGATTCTGATGGCAATACCATAGCCAGGCTACATCAAGAAGGAACCATGTTTTTTCAAATCATATATACATAATTGTGTAGATAACTCTGGATGCAAATGTGAATTTGTACCTACATTAAAAGGAGCATAACTGTCTTGAAACCATATATATCCTGCGCTCCAAAGATTCATGAAAACACACTTTCTGTTTTCTGACCTAGACATTCCACAACCCAGTGGGCCTGTTCATATGCAACTATGCAAGAATTTTCTGCAACTTTAGGAAGCTGAGTCAGAAGGGAAGTAATTTCAACTTAATTCTAAAGAGAACGGCTTCTCACTTCCACCACTCGAATTTCAAGTCCTGAAAATATTTCAGTTATTCTTTGGAGGAATAAGAGCTACCATTTTTTTCCTTCCCAGAATGCTCCTGGAAAGATGCCACATCCTGATATTTTGGCATGCTACAGAGACATACTGAAAGAGAGAAGAATTACATCTGCCATTTAGAAACTATTTAGAAATGCTAAGGTAATTCTTATAAGTAGCTGAGTTGGCAGGACCATTCAAAGATAGAAATAAAACAGAAAAGGAAAGAATTGCTACCAGAAAACTCATTGATAAAAACTTCTCCCTGGACTTTTCACTTTGCCACATTCTTCCCTGAAATTAACTGTGGTTTGACCCAGAAATCACCACCAGCCCATTTCAATTTCTTTCCCATTTCTATCAAAACATTGTTGAGCTGAACAATAGATGAAACTTAATTTGGGGTGCTTTCACCCAAATTGCTACTTTGGTATTTTATTTATTTATTTTTGTGCCTTCGAGTCAGTTTTTGACTCTTGGCAACTGCCTGGACTAGTCCCTGCAGTTTTCTTTTCAAAGTTTCGGAAGTGGTTTGCCATTGCCTCCTTCCTAGGGCTGAGAGAGGGACTGGCCCAAGGTCACCCAGCTGGCTTCATGCCTAAGGCAGGACTAAAACTCATGGTCTTCTGGTTTCTAGTCTGATGCTTTAACCACTCCACCAAACTAGTGCTCTGTTTCTTTAGTTATTGATTGGTTTTCCGTTATTTCCTAATTAAGATTTCTCTCCCTCACCAAAAAGAAAATCATATTCCTCTAACTATAGAATTGGAAACAGGCTGGGGAAAAAAATATTCCATTTGCTGAGAGGGGGATAAGAAACGGAACATCTTATGGTCTAATGTGTCAGCAGGGGCAGTCAAAAAAGTCAAGATGGTGCCACAATGGCACATGTGAAACAAGTCAAAAGGAGATACTTTGATCAAATGGTCACATCCACCATCTTGACTTTTTTGATCCTGCCCATGGACGCTTTTGTCAATGGTAATGGTAATAGTCTTAGTGGTGCCCATTTAGACAGCTGTGTGCCTTACAGCAGGATAACCGCTGTGCATTTTCAGAAGATTACATTTTTAAAAGAAAAATAATAAAATGAGCTTCTGTAACTCTGTACATGCCTAGCCACATACCATAACTATAAAAACCTAAGTAGAAAGAAAAACATTGGTCTGAGCATGCCAATGTTTCATTTGAGCTGTCATATTCTTACTGTTTTAATGTCTGGTTTGAAATAAGTAGTTTAATATTTTATCCTTTTTTTTTTAATTGAAATGTCTGTATGTTGTTCTTTTTTGTATCTAAAGGCCTACAGGAGGAAAAGCAGCGTAAAAATAATGTTTTAATTGTTGATGTTATTCTTATGTTTATTATCAGCCTGTGACATAGAAGCCAAGTCTTTTTGCTTTTACCAAATTACTTGTTGCTCTTTGATGGTCACATAGAGGATTCCAGGACCTTGATGTTTCATTCTAAGTCCAGTGCTAACCACTGCTACATTCAGTACATCAGAGCATTTCATCATTTACTTTTTGTCTGTTCTGACTTACCAGATTCACAAAATAGGGCTTTTCCCTGTATGATATATCTGAAGATCCCATTAATTGTAGGAAGCCATGGAGATGCCCTTGGAGAAGGCATCCAGAAGCCATCAGAACAACAACAACTGCAGAAGAACCATGTGTTAAGCCCGAGGAAGTGAGAAAGTATTAGAAAAAGACTCAGATTGGTCCCCTCTGATCCCAGGAGTATAAGATGGAGGGAAAAGAAAACACAGGTGGGCCTGCAAGATTTTGTTATTATAGCCTATCTCAATAATGCATAGTTCGAGCCTTCTTGTGGAGTCAGTTTCCTGACCTAGTCTACCCTAGGGCTGACATTAATTGAAGGTACTCAAAATTTCAACCTGAGACCTTCTGCTTGCAAACAACATTTCTGTTCTGGCACTGGCACTTTGTTCTCCTCCTCTACCTCCTCCTCCCTTTGTTCCCCACATAACTTTTTTTTTTAAGATGCTATCCTATGGCATTCTGTATTTGGAGAAACTTGCCTATAAACCAAGGCAGCAAGGTGGCAGAAGCAAAATACCTTCAGTTGGAAGCCATTGGCATATCCCATGGGACATAATGCTGCCTTTGCCCAGACACCCCATCGTCCTCCATTTGGTACTTGGAGGGTAGCTTCATATTTTCGGGCTTCTGAATCCAAGAGGCAGTAGGGGAGGATCAAGAAGATCCAAATGCTAATGGTGAGGTCCATGAATCTGTTCTGCAGCAGGAATCTTAAGAAAGAAGAGTATTATTTAAGAATGGTCTCTCCATCCCCCTTTTCCCACTCCTGACATTTTGGTTGAATCTCCTCTACTTTACTGCCCCTGCTTTTCAGATATTGGCACTAGAGGGGCATGCTGTTATTTTTGGTTGATGGAGTGATAATTGAAAGCTTTTCTTATCACAATATGATGTTTCTAAGAAGCTTAGAGTGACTAGAAAACTGAATTGGAATAATTCTAGCATTTTTTTTAAGTACTTTGAAGCAATGGTGGTGGATAGGTCTTCCATTTTTTAAAAGATTGCATTCTTTAGAGATCAATGAAACTCAGAGTAGGTAGAAAATGGGGGTGAGTTCTTTTCAGAATCTAGAACTGACTACACATAGCAAAAATCACATGAGATAGTGACTTGGCTTCTAGTTCATTTGCCCATCATATCTAAATCCTCAGTTTTTCTAGATTACTACTACTATTACTACAATGAGAATGTTAAGAATAAAAACGAAATAGAAGAGAAACTATGGGATGAGAATAAGACGTACAACCCTATACATTCAAAATGTATTTATTTTGAAATATTTATCCCAGATCTCTTACAGGGAATATCTTCAGATGGCATCTTCAAGACCCCTAAATTATATTTTTCAAAATTAAAAATTAGCAAAATCGTGCAATCTTATCTAAAACCTCTGGAGAACAGAGGCATCACAATATTCTGAGGAAGAATACAAATATATTTCATTTCAAACAGTCCTGGCATAGAAAGCTCTGTCTGAATAGCTATCCTTCCCTAAGTAGTGGAGCAATAGGTAGTTTTAATTCTGGATTCAGCACTCATGCAGGGCTTTCCTCTTTAGGTAGCAACATATATTACAGCACCTGCAAAATATAGAAAGCCAGCTTTGTTGCATCTGAGAACCTTTCTGCTTTTCCTGTTAAAGGTAGAGTTATATTTCAAAGTTTTGACTGCTTCCCTTCACTACTACTACCTATTTTGGTGCAACCCTGATGGAAGAATGGAAATGAGAAAGGGGGTATATTTAGATGCAAATGAAAAAAACAAGTAGAAAGCTTCTCTTCCTGCCCTTTATATGAACCCCAAATAGTTACAAAAAGAACAATTCCCTTAGAGTTCCCCCCCCCCAAAAAAAACTGTCCTGAATTCAGGCTGGACAACTGATTAAGCCTGTATAATTCTGTCCAGATTGTGATCCTTGCCCTTCCTGCCTCCCTTATTCTTGTCTTTTGAGCAGACTGCTGACAGTCAAAAAGTGAAGTTCTACTTACTCTTACACAGGACTCAATACAGCTAGAATGAGGGGGAAATTGGGTTGAGCAGTGAAATATGTATGTGGGCAGGGCATTAAAGAAGAACATTACATAGATCAGTATTTATTATGACAGCATCTGCCTGAGGGGGAAGGTCCAAAGGGTGGAATGAAAGTCATGAAATCTATTAAATGGGGACAATATTTAAGAACAGTAAGCCTTTCAATATTAAACTCTTAACTTTCAAAAACCATCCAGAATAATAATACTGTGCTACCTGGAATACCCACATTCCAGTAGACAAAGCAGCCAAATTCACATTCCACTGTCAGTATCAGACAAAAATCTGTATCTTCTGAAATAAGCTTAGATTGACCTCTTACCAGGCAATGAAACCAACTAAATTCATCTGTTACATATGTACTTAGAGTACTGTGATGAAAAAATGATCCAGACTTCCATAGACATCTTATTTTGTTGTATTACCCATTCCAAGCAAAATTCCATATACCCTTAAATACCCTGGAAAATTCAGTTCCTGATCATGCTATTTTTGGAATGAAAAGTACATCTTTATGCATTAAAGCCTTTTAGTCCAAGGCAATTGCTGAACTGGGTTTGCTTGTTTAGCTAGGAAGTGGCATTCTGAGTCAGTGTTGGAGTAAGGAAAAAATGTTTACACATAGTAAGTAGCAGATTCTTGTGGACGTTTTGAATGTTATTTCAACAAACGTTGAGTCTTATATCTCTATTATTATGGATGATGAGTTGCTACCAAAGCAGTTTGAAATTGTATTCCAGAGATTGTCTTTAACTGATTTATTTTACATCCATACCATGATCAAAGACACTTCCAATTCTGGTGGCTTTCTGTGGAGGATGAGAAGAGTAGATAGAGAAAGCCATTAAAGAAAAGGAATGCCTTGAAATTTGAAAAGGCACAATTTATAATATACTATGTTATAATATGAGTTGCTATCCCCAAGACAGTATTTAAGGTGGGCTTCCTGTGGTTCAAGAGTTAGCATGCAAGAATAGTAGCTAGTCTTCTTCAAAATCAGCTAAATTGGCACTCAACACCACATCTAATCGCAATATATTCCACAATATAATGTGTTTTTTTTAAAAAAATCTGCATTTAGTTTCAATAGATTACTTGTGAAAGTGGAAGAAAAGCTTCTGTCTGTACCTATTTTTCGGCCATGCATGATATTATATGCTTTTCTTTTGTTCTCTTGCACCCCTCCTCTTGGTTTAAGATCAAAAGCACTAGATGATGTAGGCTTTCCTTGAATGGGAGCTTCTGTAACTCCCTAGTCATTCTGGTTGCTCTTTTCTGCAGAAAAGAAAAATGTAAGAGGGTAAGGTTAAATGGAAATGAAATGGAAAAGAATAGACTATGACAATTCAATCAAAATCTTAAAACATGTCAAATGAATGGAGTCGCCATTTGCAACAGTAGGGATTTGTATCATTTATCACTTACCTATCACTATCACTTATAGGAGAACAAAAAGCCATTTTGACCGACTGACATTTAAAACTTGACAACAATTTAAGAGCCAGAATGTTTCATAACCAGATCCTTTGTCTTTCAGGACAGTAACCCTGGTCTGCGAATAATCACAAAACCAGCTGGAATATTTCAGTATTTCATGTTCATCCTATAGCCCATTTTCAGGACCATTGACTTAAGTGGAAAAATCTGTTCTTATTGTCTAGTGATTTGTGTGGCAAATTCAATCAAGATGCCATCATTATCCCCATATCTCTCAGGAAGACCAGTAACTTAGCTAATAGCTTAATTGGTGGGTAGACAATAAAGTCTTTATTCCAGACATCAGTTTCTTATACCTTGATGGAACTTGAAAAGACCATTTCCTATGATGGAACCAAAACAAGATGCCTCCAATGGGTAGGCTTTGATGGTATTCTCCTTTTTTCCATATTTGAGACATAATATCTTTTCCACGATTCCTTTACATTTTAAAAAATGTTTTTGAAAAGGCTATAAACATATATAAATGGTGTGTAAGGGAAAGAAGAATAAAGCGTGTGTTTCAGTTAAGGGGGAAAGTAATATTAATGAGATAGAAGGGATAGGACCGGGATGGATCTTTTTAAAATACTGAGGCAACAGGAAGCAAAAAGTTCATTTGACATCTCATGCCACAAATATAATTTGGACCATTTTCTAGGGCAATCAAACTGTTTTCTCCATTGTTTTTATCCATTGGCGTCAATGGCAATTAGGTATATGTAAGGTAATCTTTGGGATTAGATTTTAATGATTGCGTTTATTACCTTGAACAAAAAGTACCAATCCTCCTGAACTTTACCTCAGATGTTCAGAAAATAGCTATCGAAGCAATTATTTGGTAGATGCAGGAAGCAGGAGGCAACAGTCTAGATACTTCCTGTCAGTTTCTCCTTGCAAATTAGCTGGGGAGGTGTCAGCCCTTCAAGGTAAGCTAGGTCAACACAGCAGCCCAGCAACACACATTTTTCCACGCTCCTGCCCTTTTTAATTTTATACTAATTTTTAAATAGTATTTTAGCTACTTTGGTTTTCTTTTAGTTAGTTTTAGTTAAAATAAGTATGTTAGGTTACTGTAGATTTTAATTAGATTTTTACTGGACTTACTAAACTATTTTAAATAGATTCACAACTGTTCATGGTGTGACGATTGTGGAGCCAAAAGGAGCAAGCAAAAGAGTCTGAGTGAATTTTAATAACATGGGAAAAAGAAAGAAATGACATGGCATCCATCTGGGCTCTTTCTCCTCATCAAGCTCTGCTAAACAACCAAAGATAGAAGAACATTTACATGAAAGGAATCTGTAAGCAAAGCAATTTTCCTCCAAGCTTCCAACAAATTTGCAGCCCTTGAATCACTCAAATGAGACTTTCAAACAGAATTGGAAAAACCACAGTTGTTAGATCTTTCACTATCTGTCAACGAAGAGTTAAATTAAAATTTGGATTCCCTCCCAGTGTCTCATTGTATGTCTCCCGTGCAACTTGCTAGCTCACCTAATAAACTCAAGGGAAACAAAAGTAAGTTTAAAAATAGGATCCAAAATCAAAATTTGGAAAGGCTCCCATGGGAAAATACAATGGAATTCATAGCAAAGCAATGTCTTCTTACAGCACAAACTGTTACCTCATTATTTGAACAGCTGCCAGCTATAAAATATGACCTAGCTATAAAAAAGACTTTGAGACTTTTGTTCAAAGATATACAGCCAAATCTACCACTTCCATTAAGGCTTATGCAGAAGCTCCAGCAAAGCAATACATTCTTGGTATGGACTCTGATAAAGGTCAAGTCATTAAAGGACAACAAACTGACAAAAGTCTGCAACAGTCAAATGATTGTATTAATAAATCCCTACTTTCTGACAAGGTAAAGAGTGGTGGTCCTTACATGCTGACACCTCTCTGGATACAAAGGAGGAAACTCCCCGCAAGCTAAACCATTCGCTTCAGACCCAGCAGATTGCTCTCTGTATCTCCCTGAACAATCTCAGTACTGGATTCTAGGAGAACAATTAAAACTTCTCTAGGACAACTTCTTCAGTGTCAATATGGACAGATAGATTTATGCACCACTGAATGGCTTCTTACCGTTCAGAACCGAAAACGGATTTTGTGATCTTTTAATCAGTCTGCTATCCCACTAATGTTATTTAAGACGAGATGATACATAGCACATTT